CCAGAGAGCCTGCCATACACAGTGTGGTCGTTTGAAAGAAAATGGCCCCCAAAGGGAGTGGCACTATTAGGTATGGCCTTATTGAAACAGGTGTGGTCTTGGAGGAAGTATGTCATTGTGGAGGCAGGCTTTGAGGTCTCATACATGCACAAGCCACACCCAGTGAGACAGACCACTTCCTGTTGCCTGCAAGTCAAGATGTAGGACACTGTGCTACTTCTCCATCACCATGTCTGCCTGCATACCACCATGCCACACCATAATGATAATGGACTAAATAAGCCACCCCAATTAAATGTTTTTCCTTTATAAGAGGAAATGAAAACCCTAACTAAGACACAGAAAAAACAATCAGCCTGTGAAAAATAAGAAAGAAAGTGAGGACCAATGGCTGAGATGTCCTCTGGTCTCCACATATTTACACATATGTGTCATATCATACACAGGTGTGCATGCCCGGACACACACACACACACACACACACACACAGAGAGAGAGAGAGAGAGAGAGAGAGAGAGAGAGAGAGAGAGAGAGAGAGAGAGAGTCTATTTAAAGTGTCTGGAAGCTGGAGATATAGCTCAGTTGGTATAATGCTTGCCTAATAAGCACAAAGCCCTGATTTTTATCCTCAGCACTGCACTGAACACCATGGAGCAAGCCTGTAATTCCTGCCACTGTGCCCAAGAGGTTGAGAGTGCAAGGTCTCCTTTAGGTATACATTTAGTTCAAGGCCAGCCAGTTCAAGACCCACATCAAAGAAAAGAAAGCATTTCTACATCCCCTTCCCCCATTTCCAGTCACCTCCATAGATGCTCTACAAAGAAATGCCCCGAGTCCCCAGGCTGGCCTGCCACCCCCATCACAAGTCTGTGCCACATACTCCTTCCCTCACTTCTCAACCATACCACTAAAAGCTGGAATTCCACCCCCACTCATTTTCCTGAGCCTACTATCTCCCACTCTATTTCCAGAAAGAAACCTCTCCAAATGTCTAAGCTTTCCCTTCCCACAGACAGCGGACTCTAATTCCTACAGCTGCCCTGGCAAGCACACTTGACTGCTGACTCCAACCTTGGAGCTGATCAGGTCTCTTTCTCTTCTTGTGTCTCTTTGCTTCCCTCAAGACTCTGTTTTCAATCCATAGAACACAGCTACTTAGCAACATTACAACCAGGACAGAGAGGAAGCAAGGGGATGCTGAAAATGAAGAGGAGGAAGATGAAAATGATGACTATCAGAAGACCACAGCAGAGATCTAAGTACCCAGACAATGGGCAGAACTACTAAGACGGCATGGATAAATTTAAAATTTGTAAATGCACTAGAAAGGATAGAAAGAAATAAAACAGTGGCTTTGGCATCATGGGATGATGGAGGATAGGGCCTACACAGACTCAAGACCCACACTTGACATCACCTGTGTATGCAAATATTCAGAACCACATCAGTAAGTGGCATCTCTGAGGAAGGAGTGAAGAAAAGGAACAAAAGACCTGGGATAAACTGTAATTCTGGACAGGAAGACAGGGGTCAGAGTTGCCATTGGATGACACAGCATAGAAATATCAAATACGTGAAGAGTTTGAAGACAGAAGCCAAAGTTGTCATGTGAATCTAGTGAAGCAGAACAGGTGTCAGCAGAGTTCAGGGACCATTTCTCCCAAAAGCATCCCCTGGTTACCTTGGTTACATCAGCAGGACCTCTCCTTTCTCCACTCACTATCCTCACTTAAGGTGTTCCTCACCTCTACCAACTGAAAGGGGCATTACTTAACCTCAGTTCCTGCCTATAGAATCTAGAAAAACCTTGACTGTGGAGACTCGATAATCTTTGCAGAATGAACATATAGTAAATTATCTTGCATATAGGCTTTTATGAAATAACTGCCCAGTCCAGTTTATTAATGTGGGTTTACAAAATTCACATGCTGTGAGTCTCTCTTTTTCATGTTTCATGGATGTTTTGGTTACATATGTCTATGCATCGTGTGGGTATAGTGCCTGTAGAGGCCAGAAGAGGATGTCAGATCTCCTGGGACTGTACTTACAGATGGTTGTGAGCTACCATGTGGGTGCTGGGAATTGAGCCTGGGTCCCCAAGAAAAGTAGCCAGTGCTCTTAACCCCTAAACCACCTCTCCAGCCCCACAATGGGAATCTTAACACAAACTGTATTAGCTACTTTCTGCATTGCTGTGGGGAAAATTCCTGATAGAAGAACTTGAAAGGAATAAAGGATTTCTTCTGGCTCAAGTTTTGGAAGGTTCAGTCAATCATGATGGGGAGGACATTACTGGAGCACAGCAGTTCATATCACAGCCTGCCAGGAAGCAGAGAGTAGAACCAAAAGTGACCAGGGGTAATAGAGCCTCCAAGGACCAAGTCCCTCCTCCTGTCCCAACCCACAAGCTACCTCCTCCAGCCAGACCCCACATCTCAAAGTTTTATGAGCCTCTCAAAATAGTGCATCAGCTGTAGGGGACATTTCAGGCTCAAACCATAACACCCACCAATTTCAATTTAAAGAAATTGAAAATACAAACTACCTGCACATAGTCTCACTTCTTCTTTGTAGTCTGTATTCCAAAGACGTAAAAAGTGGAAATTCTTGGGGGGAAAAAAATCACTTGCAATTAAGCATAACCTGGGCTTATAAACTTGTGGATTCTCATCTTTTACTTTCTCATAAAAGAAGCTAAATCTCTTAAGGATTTCAATTTCCCGGCTTTGGGGTTTGTTATGGGCTTGTTGTTTGCTAAAGTATCAAACTACTTCAAAGGTAATGGCTTCATGAAGGATTCCGTGGGAAGAAGCAGAACTTACGTCCTCGAAGCAAGCTGTAGCTGGGCATTTTTATAGTACTTAAATCGCAAACACAAAGCAAAAAGTGCCACTTCAAGAAAATTAAAGAATCCCAGAGCCTGAGAATGCTCCACTCTGCAAGGAGGAGAACACATTAGGAAAGAGACCTTATAGAGCATTAGCCTGTCAAGCAATGCAGCCACACCAAAATGCTCCTTATGTCTTCCTTTATATGGCCTCATTTCTTGCAAGGGTAGGCTACACTTTCTTTTGCAATTCTACCCTGATTTCACAATCAGGGTAGAAGTCATTCTCCCTGGCTGCCACTGCCTATCCCCAACTGTTCCAACAACACACTAATGACCTGCCACTTACAATGAAGACCCCCATAAACCTATGACACTTCCAGGCTATTTTTCCCTACCTACTCACTTCAGCTACCTCTCTTTGGCTTCTATAGATTGCTCTGCTTTCTGTTTTCCAATCTCCTGCAAAAGGGAGAGGGTGTGCCCTTAGGACTGACCTTCCCACTCCTCTACTTATCGTCACCTCTTACTGGATCAGCTCACTGCCTCCCTGATGTACCCAAACCCAAACCTTGTCCCACTTGGAACCCTGCCCATTCATGTCCATTCAAAGTGGATAACTACTCTAGGTTCTTGGGTACTTAACTGCAAGTTCCACAAGCCAGTGCTGAATTCATTTGCCTCCCAAACTGCAGCTCCATCCTGTGGTCTCAATGGCCAAAGGACAGCACCTTCCATCCCAGCCAGAAATCTGGAAGGTGACCTTCATTTGAGACTTTCTTCCCCACCTCACCTCCCCAAATGGCCACACTTTCAGTTGGACCTCCCAGCCATAGTCAGAATCGTTCTCCATTCCATCCCACCACTGCTGAAGTTCACGTGCTATCATCTCTCCAGTATCCTTAACCATGCTCCTGCTTCCACAACCTATTAACCATTCTCCTGCCTCCACAACCTATTAACCACTAGTTAACTTTGTGTTGACCAACCCTGAAGGGTGGTTAATACACCAAGTGAGAAAACTGATTTTCCCTTTGCCAGCAGGTACCAACTGCAGACAGCTTCTTGGTTAGGGGTGGGAGCTGGTGTCCACTTTCCCTCATCTGGCTTGAATCTGGGTGTCCTGTATATGTTGCCACAGTGAGTTCATGTGTCATGCAATCACTTTCAAGTCACTCCTGCTCTTGTGATACCAATAAAACCCATTGGTTCTTGGAGTATGGTGGCACACACCTTTAATCCCAGCAGAAATCTATGCATTAGAGCCCAATAGAGTCCACATAGCTAGTACCAACTAGGCAAGGATACATAGCAAACCTTGTCTCAGAAAGAAAGGGGGAGGGAGAGAGAGAGAGAGAGAGAGAGAGAGAGAGAGAGAACTTATTGGTTCACCACCAAGTTGGACTTCAGCAATTGATACTTTGGTCTGTAGTGGGTTCCCCTTCTGGGGTAAGTAGTCAAATGTGTTGCACCTCTCATGTAAACTCTCTCTTGTGTTTAGTTTTGGCAAACAGGTACAGTGTTAAGAGGCTAAATGACAAACTCCAACACTTATAACAAGCTTATGGATAGGCTGGAGCAGTCCTTAGTGTCTTCTGAACTCTGTGTCCTTGCTGGTATTATTATGGTGCCAACTCTACCCATGAGCTGTCTCTAACCTCCACACAATTCAGTTCCCAAAGCTTTTGACTTGGGCTGTTCCTCTGTGGTAGACGTACTAGCCTAACACAGGCAAGGCCCTGCCTTAGTTCACCCCCCAGCCCTGCAAAACCACAAAAACAACTCTTTAACTTACATATGTGAATGATTTCCTGTCAGGCCATTATAAAACCTAGAAGAAAGATACTGTCTTAGAATATATGATTGCCCAATGGTTTCCTTAGGGTACATATAAAAATATACGATTTCTCAGCCAGAAGGCATGCAGCCCTGAAGGTTTAAATGAGTCCACCAGACCCAAGATAAATAATGCATTTATACTTACACAGATAATAGTAATAACCACCAGGGTCTTCCTGCTCCAGAAGATGTAGTCTCTGCCCTTCCCATGCTCTTACCACAACCCAAGAGAGCCAGCCAGCCCTTCCTCTTCCTCATAAGGGGTCACATCTGCACCTGAAGCCACGCCCCTAGGATGTGGCCACCAATGCAAATTCACTGGCAAAGCAAGATGTCACTACACAGCCCACCAACCCTTTAGGGGTCTTTTTATTTGAATTGCCATTTATCCTCCAAACAAGTTATTCCAATTATTTTTTATTTTTCACATCATTTTTTAAAGAAGAAAGGAAGGAAGAAAAGAAAGGAAGGAAGGAAGGAAGGAAGGAAGGAAGGAAGGAAGGAAGGAAAGAAGGAAGGAGGGAGCGAAGGAAGGAAGGAAGGAAGGAAGAAAGGAAGGAAGAAAGGAAGGAAGGAAGGAAAGTTTTGTACATACATTGTGCTAGGCACTGTGGATACATTCACTAACAAACCAATGTCCCTGCTCTCATGGAGCTGACAATCTAAGGAGGAGGAAACACACCACCCCAAACCCACACTGCCACAAATTCCTCACAAACTGAGGTGAGCTAAGAAGGCCAAGTATGAGGTTTTAAAGTTCATAGACATCATGGATTGTATCTGACCTGAGTGGTCTGGAGGAGTTTCTGCATGGAAGAATGGTTCTGGGCTGGAACTACAGTTTTTGTTTAAATCAGGTAAAACCAGGTTAGAATGTACACTGGAGAACACACTGTAGGAGAAGGAAATAGCATTGGACAAAGCCTGTGAGAGGGGCAGGCACATAACCCATTTATAAAAACATCTCGGGACATTGGTGACGTACACCTTTAATCCCAGCACTCGGGAGGCAGAGGCAGGCAGATCTCTGTGAGTTCAAGGCCAGCCTGGTCTCCAGAGCGAGTGCCAGGATAGGTTCCAAAGCTACACAGAGAAACCCTGTCTAAAAAAAAAAAACAAAAAAAAAAGAAAAAAAATATGTATATAATATTGTATGTATGTAAAAATAATGTATATAATATATATATAATCAAAGTTTCCTACAGCTTGTGTGTAGACCAGTAGAAAGGACAAGGCCAGCACATAGGAGTCAGCCAGCACATGTGCAAGGTCAACTTCATACTTGGCCTGTGCTGCAAAAGCCACATGTAGTCAAAGCCTCAAAACAAGTAAATAATGGCATAATAAATGATAAATGAAAAAGGAAAGGAATGCATTTTTAAAACAGTTTCTGAGCTTTTTAAAAGATCCAGTATTATTATTATATTTGTATGTGCATATGCACAAGTGTGTGCTCTCACGCCTGCAAGAGCCTTAATATGCAAGAGCCTGGGGAGGTCAGAGGAGGGTGCTGGATCCCTTGGAGCTGGAGTTAAAGATGACTGTGAGCTGCCTGCCCCATGTGGATGCTGGAAACTGAAGAGGAGTAAATGTTCTTGGGCACTGTCATCTCTCCAGCCTCTCAATGCCAAAGCTGTAAGCATATATATATATGACGCTTTGCATCACATGTACCCTACACCTGTAATTATTCAATGAGACTGTACCTAGGACATTTTCTTATTGCAGCTCTGATTTCTGGAGATCATCTTCCACAGCAAAACTGAAATCAGCATTGACATTTTAAAAACATAAGGAAAACATAAAGTATAATTTCTGTACTGGTTTTATGTGCCCATGTACATAAGTAGCCATTATAAATTGAAAGACACTTTTATTGTCTTTAAGAGAAAAAAAATAAACTCTTCAGAAAGCTTGTACTACAAATTATGTACCTGATAGGAAAAACAACAACAAAAACCTCCAAAGGTTGCTGCCCAGCAGCCACCATTAATGACACTCTTGATTCCCTAGTGGAGAGTAGGAAGCAATTGCATGCCATTCTCTATGAAACAGTGCACGCCTGTGAAAGGGTCATCATTTATTCTGTATGTAACAGTTTTCTATACAAACCCTCATACTTTGTGGGTTTTTTTTTTTTTTCCTTTTCCCTGTTACAGAAAAGGCTCATCCTGAGGATGCACAGACTAAAAACTACCCCAATAGAAAATGCAGACTATTAGAGCTGGCCCTTCTTAAAGCTCACTGAGTGTTCCAGACCAATTTTCTACACTGTTCACTGTTGATTAGAATTCTGTAGTGACACAAGTTACAAAAACCACAGGCTAAAATGGTCTGCATGAACACACTTTTAGTAGATGCATTTGAAATATAAATATATTTTCCACTCTATTATTTTTCTAAATGACTCTTTTGTTAAAAGAAAAAGAAAGAAAATCTTCATGACGGTTTCCAATCAGTGGTGCATGCTGCCCATTCTCAACACCTCCATTTCAGAGCCTTACCTGCAAAACATAATGCAAGAAATTACCAAAAAGCAGCTGGGGTAGTGGGGAGAGGAAGCTCCACTCGATTTTCAAAATGAAAACTGTAACTTTGTAACATACGTAATATAAAATATTATGATTTTTATTGGGGTGGGAGTGCACATGAGTGCAGGTGTCAGCAGCTCACCCCTGGAGCTGGTGAGATCCCCAACATGGGCACTGGGAACTGACCCCTGGGTCTCTGTAAAGACAGTATACACTTTTAATCACTGAGCCAGCTCTATAACCTTTCATTTCCAATTTTTTAACATGAAAAACAAGAGCACCACCCTGCTTTAAAAAAAATATGAGCTATTATACCAGACTTCAACATATTCAAGTCATAACACTTAATGTCAGATGATATGCATATTTACAAATAAATCTTTAAATCATAAGTTTAGTGGCTAAAATCTTTAGAAATAACAGGAAATAGATTGTTTATCTTATAACCATCATGTTTATAAGTATAAAAAAAAATAATATAACCCCATACTATAGTCTTTAATCTGTTAGGAAGGAATCTGAAAAAAAGCAAACAGCATATTGACATTAGGATGTCAACTGACATTACCTAGAGTCACCAGAGACAAAATGTATGTAATACATGCGCTTTTTAAATAAAATGAAGAACTGCCTAGATCAGACTGGCCTGTGGGCATATCTGTGAGCCATTGTCTTGATTGCTAATTGATGCAGTCCAAGGCACTGTGAACAGTATCATCCCTGCATGGGTGGCCTTGAGCTATGCAAGACAGGCAGGTAAGCATGAGCCAGTGAGAAGGAGCCAGCAGGCAGCCTTCTGCTTCAGGCTCCTGCCCAACATCTCTCAATGATGGAGGAGATTGTGACCTGAAATAAACAGTTCCCTCCCCAAGCTGCTTTTGGCCAGAGCATTTTATCCCAGAAACAGAATGAAAGTAGGACACAGGGCAAGATGAAAAGTTACCTTAAAAGTCAGAATGAAAGAACGGAAGGGCACAGTCCAGCACAGGGCATAGGGCAGGGCCTTGCTCCACTAAACTCAAGTCCTACAGCCTGCGCTGCACAGAAGGCAACAAGCCCCCTTCTTTTTCACTCTTGCATTTAAGCTTTCATAGTCATCTTAAATTTCTGAAATTAAGTACAAATTTTGTAGTGCTATTTCCAGACCTGTTAGCTCTTAAAAATCAAGAAAACAACTAATATCTTTAAAGTCCAACCTAACTTGAAATAGAATGCTCATAGTTAAAACTTTCAAGATACAATTTTCTTCCTTTAGTACTCACTCGGAATGAGAAAGTTTTAATTCTTCCCTTTGTTTTGCAGAGTAATTTAGATTCCCACCTAAAATATAAATGAGTAGTCATTTTAAACAATCTGAGTAACTAAAATTCAATCATACATATACATATACTTGCATAAAAGTTATGAAAGAAAACAATATAATCACACTTTAATTTTAGCTTTGTATATTTAAGTTTGGAGTTATGCGTTGCTTCAGGATTTTAACTGAAACACTGTGTTAAATATCAGTATCACTAAAAATTAAGAAACATTAAAAGAAATCTAAATTTATTGTGCTATAGTTTCTTAAGTATACCATGCCCTTTAAGGACAAACAATTAGAAAGATTAATAAGAACTACATCAAATTCTTATAAAAAAAATAAATTAATGCATATTAGTGTATACTAGTAAAAAATTTTCTATTTCTACTTCTAAACCAAATGTGTTCAACCTTAAAGTGAAAATTTATTTGCTTTTTATTTTTTTAGAAATGAGACTATTTTGGGGTCTAGGGGTTTTTCTAATATACACCTGAGATTTTATAGTATGAAACACTGATCTTACTAGGAATGAGAAAGCATAACAGCAATTTGATGGAAGTAAAGGTTCAGAATGTGTGACTATAAACATGGAAATCACTAACACAAACTAAGTAAAACACTGGCCCTCAAGAAGATTCACTAGAGATGAAGAAATCATGAGAGCTGCTTACCTCGGGCACGATTCACCACATACAGACAGACCACAGCTAAAAGTGACACTGAAAAACACAAGCACACTTGTAAATAATGACTATATAATCAAAATTAACACACAAACCAAATTTCTCTTTGTTGGTACGGTGGTTTGAATAGGAATGGCCTCCACAGATTCGTGTGTTTGAATGCTTGGCCCATAGGGAGGGGCATTATTAGGAGGTGTGGCCTTGTAGGAGGAAGTGCGTCACTCCCTGGTGGGCTTTGAGGTCTCATATGCACAAGCTATGCCCCGTGTGGGACAGTTCACTTCCTGTTGCCTGGGGATTAGGACGTAAAACTCTCAGCTCCTTCTCAACCACCCTGTCTGCCAGCATATGGCCACGCTTCCACCATGATAACAATGGACAAAACCTCTGAAACTGTAAGCAAGCCCCAATTAAATGTTTTCCTTTAGAAGAGTAGCCATGATCATGGTGTCTCTTCACAGCAAGAGAAACCATAAGACAATTGACGTTTTAAAAAGTTTGCACATTTTTTGTTTCTGAAAGCTCTCAGGTGCCACAGCATTTTCCCAACAGGGAATCACTGCTTCTTAGCTCAGGAATGACAAGGCTGACACCCCACAGGAGGGAAGGAGGGAGCCAACACAACCCAGACACACACACACACACACACACACACACACACACACACACCCTGCAATGACAGGGCCAGAGAGAGGAGAGGGAGCCAGCACAACCCCAGATGCATACACGATGCTCAGCCTCTTGGGTGTGATTCAGCTGTTGTTGCTATTTTAATATATATAAGGAGGCTCAATACACACACACACACTCACACACACACCTCTTCCTTCCTCCCTTCTCATCCCAGAACTCCTGGCAGCTTCTGGCCAGTTTGTCACTTGACAGAAGTAGCTCCACAGGGATTTCTCATCTAAGGACACCATGTGCCTTTACAAATGAACAAACCAAAACTTCATCTGAGGCCCTCTGCACATGGGTGGCAGTTTTGCAGCCTGGTCTGTTTGTAAGACCCCTGGCAGTGGGACCAGGATCTATCCCTGGTGCATGAGCTGGCTTTCTGGATCCCATTCCATATGACAGGATGCCTTGTACAGCCTGAAGGGTTGTACAGACCAAGGGGAGGGGCTTGGTCCTGCCTCAATTGAATGTGCCAAGTTTCGTTGACTCCCCATAGGAGGCCTTACTCTTTCTGATGGGGAAGTGGATTGAGAGGAGGTTAGGGAGAGGGGAAGGATGGGGAACTGTGGTTGATATGCAAAATGAATAAAAACTTAAAGAAAAAAAAGATTCTTAAACCAATTTGCAAGAGTTTGGGAATGTGGGGGTGGGTATCAAGGACTTAGGAGGACAAGGGGATGGAAATGATCAAAGTGCCATGCATGCATATATGAAATTCTCAAAGGACTAATAAAAAATACACACACACACAAAAAAAAAAAAAAAAACCTTCACCCTTAACTTCCCACCCAGAGCCAGTTCAGAGCCCACAAGACAGAGCTTAGCTTGCTGCCCTTACTTTCTAAGCACACTGTTTATCTTACTTTGAGTGATATGGCCAAAACCTATATGAACATTTTACTCTATATTATAAGAAATCAAACGCTGCCACATGGCATACTCACAAGAAACACAGGCAATGAAGAAAACCTCCAAAAACAAGTATCCCCGAGTATCCAGTATCATGCCAGCCAGGATGGAAATGACGGCCAGCCCGAGGTTCTGAATGGACTGCATGCTAGGATTTCAGGACAAAATGACATTTCATTCTCAAAATCTTCATACACAGGCCAACATCACTATTAATATTAGCTGGTGTTAGGAAAGAGTCTCAACCAGGGAGCACATGGATAGAAACTATATAGCCCTGGCTGGCCTAGAACTCACTTTGTAGACCAAGCCTGCCCCAAGAAGAACCACCTGGCTCTGACTCCAGAGTGCTAGGATTAAAGTTGTGCGCCACCACACCCAGCAGATTTCGGGTTTTATCCCAGACTGTTTCTGTTAGTAGACCACGGGCTCCAAGGCAAGTGAAGTATGAAATGCCTACCTGATGAATGAAAGGGAGAGATACCTGTACAGCAGCCACAGGAGTAGCTGCCCCTTTGCCTTTGAGGCCTGGGATATGGGTCACCCTCCCACTGAGCAGTGTTCAGATGGACAGGAGTGGGCATGTCTACAGCTGCCTCCTATGGGTATTAGCTTACTCCAGCTACCTAGGGGCTTACCTTGCTGGATGGCCAAGTGTAAGTACATTTGACTGGACTAAGAAGCACCTAACAGGAAAACACTCTTGGTGTGTCTGTTGGTCATATCTAGAGTAATGACTTCAATGGGAAAGACCTGGACATGGGCAAGCACTACCCATAGGCTAGGGGCCTGAAGAGCATAAAAAGGCAGAGTGATAGCTATTCTTCGTTGTCAACTTGACCATCTCTAGAAGTAACTAAAACCCAAAAATGGAGGGGCCCACCATGAGGGATTTTTTGCTTAATTTGAGGTGGGAAGAACCACTTGTAAGCATCATCTTTGAGTTGGGAAGACACACCTTTAATCCAGATTGTGACGTGGGAAGACCCACATCTAATCTGAGCTTCCACTGGAAGCCTATATAAGGACATGGAAACAGGAAGCTTTTGCGCTTTGCCTGCTTGCTCTCAGCTCCTTAGCAAGTCTATTCCTTTGCTGGCATTAGAGACTATATCTTCAGGATTCTAGAATACACTGAAGACCAGCTGAGATATGCAGCCTCATGGACTAAACAACTATTGAATTCTTGGACTTTCCATTCATAGACAGCCATTGTTGGATTAGCTGGACTACAGCCTGTAAGTCATTCCAATAAATACCTTTCTATATATAGAGAGAGAGATGCATTCTATGAATTCTGTTACTCTAGAGAACCCTGAATAATACAGGAGGAAAAGAAGAAAGGCCTCAGAGCAGGTATGGAGGGGTGTGTGTGTGTGTGTGTGTGTGTGTGTGTGTGTGTGTGT